TTCCGGCCTACCTGACCTTCTGAGGACCCGGCCCGCGAAGGCTGGGTCCTCAGGAGGATGCAGCCCATGAATTTGGACACGACCTCTTTGTCTGTGTCGTGATCTACCCTCATCTTGCTGTGTGTTCTGTTTGCGTAAGCTTATTTTGTATTCTCAGTTTTGTTATCCTTTTAAGTTCAGCATTAAAGCTGTTTTTTGTAGTTTACATTTGTCTCCGGAGTCTGCACTTTGGGTCCTTTCCTGCCTGCACACAGCCGTTTCATAACACACACCATATCATGTTTTCTAATAGTACCTTGTTTATTAGTTAGTATAGGTTTACTTATATAGTGTATTTATAGTTATTAAGTTAGTACAACCTTAAGCAGTAATTACATCATATTAAAGCAGCTGCAGTATGTGTGGCCCGGATGCACTGTCTGCATTGGCTGTCTCTCACCCCTTTTCAACCCTCTTTCAGTAAATATTCTCAGTTGTGGTTATTATGTGTGAGTTTTGATGTTTGAAGTTTAGAACTTTTAGTTTCTTTTCTTAATTTTTGTAATCATAGTGATGCCTCTGTTCCCGGTCTGCACTGGTTAGTATCTATCAATAGTGGTCCAAGGAAGAAACAGTGGTGAACCAGCGATGGGGCCATGGGCGGCCTAGGATCACTGAGAAATGTGGGGAACAAAGACTGGCATGTGTGGTTCGATTTAACAGATAAGCTACTGTGGTTCAAAGTTCATGCTAGTTCTGATAGAAAGGTATTACAATACTCAGTGGATGGCAGTTTGATGCGCATTGGGTTTTTGACAATTGACACTTGACAATGACGTTAGTCTACTCACCAGGTGAACGGCCACCCGGGCGACTACTAGAAAGCAAATGTAGTCTTGAAGGTAATAGAACTAGAGGGGGCTGCTGTCTCTGTGGTGTTTCACCTTCCTTTGGTTTATGAAGCACATCTGTGTTCTCTCCTGGAGGCTTTGTGACCACCATAGATGTGAGAGGAGTCACAAAACTGTATTTCAGTGACAGCTCCAAAGCCTCCTTCTTTACTTTCTCTTTCTCCGGTCCCGATAACTGAAGCCTGTGCCACAAAATATTAAATAAATATGAACATTAAGAAAGAATTAAATGTGCACTTAATAACTTCTGCATGTCTTTGGCCCATCTCAAGTGTTTTTAAAGTATAGGTGGAATTTTTAGAAAATGGAAAGATTAGATTAGATTTTGTGATTCTAATCATAAAAATGGATAAAACAATAATTTGTGTGTAATATTATCACACAAATGGTGACAACAGTGAGTTCATGTGCCACACTTCTTTTTAAAGCTGGTCCTCATTTCCAGATCAACGGAAAAATTTACTGATACATTCAATAGAATGTAAAATATGGGTTTTTAGGTCATCGGCTGCCTGCTAATATGAAACAAATTTTCAAGACAGGTTAGCCTCAAACAGAGCTATGCAATTTGAAATGTGTTTTGTTTCTGTAATGAAACAGAAACATTTCAGTCATGACTTGTTTACTGAACTGTGTTTATGGTAGTTTTCATGATAGATTTCTAACTTGCTTATACAGTTGTGACTCAGTTATTTATGGTGGCAGGTGCTATCAGTGTTATGAAATAGAAACACAACTCGAGAAGCAGGTTAGGAATCTTTTACCATTAGCTACTTTCAGCCACTCCCTTATTCACAAGCTGGTCCACATTTTATGATCGGGCAGCTTTTTATCCTCATCATCATCACCATCATCTTTATTTATAAAGCACTTTAAAAACAACCACAGGTGACACAAAGTGCTGACATTAGAACTAAATAATACAATTAGATGAGGTATAAATAAAACCCAAATAAAAGAAGGAAAAAAGTAAAATAATTAATTAGTTAGTTAGTTAATAAATGGTTTAATTCAAAGAGAAAGTCTCACTACGGTCAAAAGCCAGCTTTTTATGCAGCTTTTTATGCCAAATGCCCTTCCTGCCACAACCCCAAGGGATTTGTGACTCCTCTCAGAATCAAACCTGGGGTCTTTGCTCCTTAGAAACATGTGTAAAGCTTGTCAAAATAAAGAAATTACTGTAAATATGTTACCTCAGGGAAATTATTAAATAACTTTTCTAAAAGCCCAACTTTATTGTACATTTGACCATTAACCCTGGAGAACCCATGGGGTCAGAGCCGACCCCATTGGTTTACTAGGGAAACCATGGGGTCAAATTTGACCCCATGGGTTCTCCAGGGTTAAATAGTTTAAGGGAAACTGTTAGGGACAGTCAAATGAGGAAAAATGGCATATATCATACTCACTCTTTGTCTAGTAGCTGTTTAACTGTGAGGTACGCCCAAACCCTCTGGATACGGTCATCAGACACTGTTCCAGTGGATTCCACGGTTTCATTTGGATTAGAGAATATTATTCTTCTATTACTCTGTAACAATTCAAATGCAATGTAATGTCAGTATAGATACAGGGAAAACAGTTTAAGAAAATGACAACTGATGAGTCCTGTGAATCTATCTTTACCGAAATGGCCACAACTTGAGGGGTGAAGGTTTCAATATTGTTATCTGTGATCTCACCGGCCACCACAATCTCAGAACCATTATAATACTGGCTGAACTTAGTCTGGGTTAGATTGGTCCCACCCACATAGATCATTGTCACATCTGTTAATAGAGGTGTGGCCACCTCTTCATAGAAACCCTGTTGATATACAATGTAGACATTATACAAACTATTCTTGTTTTTTCTTTCAATCCTCTGCGATTTTTAAATCACATCATAAGAGTATTTACTGTATAAGGAAAATTACCTTCAGCTGTAAATCAGCATCAGAGTCTTCATATATCCGCCGTGCCACACCATTATTTTGCAGCGACATTTTCTCAAGGAACTTAAAATCAACATCAAAACCAAAACCAAGACAGTACAGTGGGAATTTGCCTGCAATAGCCTGTCTTACATTTGACTGAATATTCTCCAGGTTTGTCACCCCTGAAAAGATACAAGATATACCCAGATAGAGTCAGAAATAACAGTCTCAATAATGCTAAAAAAAAAAAAACTTGATAAAAAAGCTTAAAACGTATAACTAAATTAAATACAGTGTTTAATCTAATCCCCTATTTCTTGAAGTATTCTTGCACATTTATGTAAATGTGTGCTTTATTATAACCTGAGGTTGGGTCTCCATCTGTAAGAAGTATCAGAATAGATGCTGAACCTTCTCTGCTATGATCATTCAGCATACGTGCTCCTTGCAACACTGCTTCATTTATATCTGTGGCTGAAATTCAACAACAAACAAAAAAAGTTTCAGTCCAGACATTTTTCTGTCAAGTGTTCATATTCCAAAATATATATGTTTACTGCAACTTCTCACATCCTGTAGCTTGTATATTGCTTGCAAAGTTTTTGGCGCTTTCCACGTTTTTGCTGTTGGCCTGAACGAGTTCTCGCTTCCAGTGCAAAATGTTGCCATCAAAAGTGATCAGACCAAAGTGATCATCTTCTGCCAGATCATTCAAAATGTGGATTAATGCGGTCCTAGTCTGGGCAAAAACATGTTACATTTTTAAAATGATTTAAACATATTGCATGTTTTAGAATTATAGAGTGAAAAACCACCACAAAAGTGTTGATAAAAGTGTTTTCCCTTTTCCTGATTTCATATTTTTTCCATATTTGTCACAGTTGCATGTTAAAGATCATT